GAAACTCAGAGCGGAAACTGAAGAAAAACGTATCTTTTGCCGTTTTGTTTCTTTACAATCTTGCCCTGATTACCCACGATGCAACTAAGAGCATGAACCCGTCTATGGCATAGTGACATGATTGTAGCTCTTGTTCCGAAGTGTTTTACAACAGAAAGAAACAAATCTCTGACTCCATGAAAGGGTTTGGCTTGAAGTTAAAGCTCCAAAACTTGTCACATTTTGTTAAATGTGACAGCTGTGGTATTTCCTACTATTGTTGTAGTAGTTATGCAGTATGATTTCCTTGTAATCAACATTGAGAATTAAGGTAACAAGAGTGGGTGTGGAAGGTGGGAGGGGAGGGTAGTCGTTAAGCTTAACTGTCTGATCTAATTCAATTTGCAATTGCACTAATTTCAAGGAGTAGGTGACACATTTATTGACGGGTATGAACTCGTACTTTGTGTCTAATTCTACCAGGAAACGCTCTCCCTTAACGACGCTGACAACAGTTTTCAGCGCTTTTCCAACAGCTATGCTGTTACAGATCAATATTTCAGAAAAGGGCAATATCATTTTAAGGCCAGCCATCGATGAACCGGCTTTAATGGTAATCCTTATGGAATAATCAGTTACCATAGCAACATTACCACCTGTTAGAAAGACCCTTCATTCTAGCCTTAGGTGCTTCTTGTAGAGCTACTATGTATATTGGACCTAGAGGAATTACCAGGATATTAAGAAATACCATATGAAGATACTGCTCCAGCCGTGAAGGAAAGAAAAAGGAATTTTCAACAACGTACACGGTTCAAAGGTATCCATGACATTATTATTTAATTTTCAGTGCCAAGACAGTGGACTGTAATAAACACTTAATTCACATTTACCACAGTTTTCCACTTGTAGGAACATGGTCTTAAATTTAGAGACGAAATACCGAAGCAGAGTAAATGTTTTGGCGATCAGAAGCTCTCGGAGCGTAGCCTGAATAGCACTCTGGTTAACCTAAATTAGCTTAGGTTAATTGCTTGCGGTTAGCCTTTATACTGGGGTTTATTCGATTTCAACTCAAATAAACAAGTCGTGTTAATCTGCAACCTGCAACCTGCAGCCTGCAAAATAAACTTGCCGGTTAGAGCGTCTTTCTCAAGGTAACATGGAGGAAATATATTTGTCACGTGAGCTTAGGTGAACCAAGTCACGTGCCAAAACATCTTCGTGTTCAAATCCACGGTCTCAATTTTTTGTTTGTTATTATGTCTCCTACAAGTCGGGAAACAATATTATTACTAGAATGTTATAGAAAGATTGACGGCAAAATTTTGGTTCAAAAAGGATCATTAGGAAACAAAGGAACAATATTTTGGTGTTCTCCTTGCTCAATGCGTTGGTGTTCAAAGTGGTTTTAAGCTTAGTTAGGTGCTGATCAAAAAGTATTTGGGGGAGGGGGAATGGGCCGGAGGAGAGATCGAGAGGGGATGGGTCATCAGTTTTTGAGCCCTTAGCGCAAACGGTGAAGAACACTGTATTCCACGGCGACACATATAAGGTTAGCAGCGACCTCTTGACTGAAGGGCAAGAATATTACTCCGGCAGTACAAGGAACCACCGCGTAAAAAAACGAAACGTTTAGTATAGTGCATACAATGGATCCAATACTGGACAGT